CGGTTCCCCCGACCCCAATACCTTGCCCAGCCTTTCGCGGTGCTGTGTCGTTGACAATAGTTCCGTTGTCTCGAAACTTCTGGTATAAGTTATAAGTTAGAGTGGACCGTCTTGTCCACCTTCGCAACAATGTGCGATAGTTGTCGAACGAAAGCTGACGGCACACCCACTGCTGCTTACTGACCCTTTGAAGAGGCAGACGCGACGCGAACAGGAGAACCAGCTTGAACCTCGCACCGTCCAAGTCCTCTCCATGCGCCAGAAACCGGTGCTGCTGCAGAGCTAGTAACTGCTAGTGCTGATGCCGGACTAAAGACTAACATCGCCGCTGTCCTCAAGATGAAGCGCGAGGTCCGCAGCGCGATTAGACCTGTCTGAGTGGACGAATCACGCTTGGTGATGTGGAAGTGCTGTATTCGGGTATCCCGCTTCCTCAAAAGTCTTTGACAGCTGTTTCGGCAGTGTCTCATCCCGGTGGTTTCGCTCCAGATGACGAAGGTCCTGCGCACATACAGGGCGCCCCAATAAAACTCACATTTCACGTCCGGCACGAGTGCTTGTGCTACTCCCGGCTCAAGGTTCAATAGCTTCAAAGAAGGGAAGTTCATACATCTTGCTCAGGTCGCTCTGCATGTCAGCCCTCGTCTCTGCTAGCCACGTCCGTACTCGCAAAGGAAAGTCAGAACAAGGCTCTTAACCCGTTGAACGAAGGCTGAAGGCACAGCCGGCTGGGCGTTGAACGGAGCGAACTTCCGAAACTGTGATCTTGACATTGATGAGGGCTGCAGTTGCCAGCAGCGCTCAACCGGTCTTCGGTAGCGGATACCATATTTGCTTTGCGATCCTGCAGCTGTGCAGCTCGGACATGCTCGACACAAGCGAAGGCAGCAGCAAATGTTTTTGCCGTAGTTCCAGCTCGATGGGCAGGCCCAGCAAGAGGCATCGCAAAGCAGTGGCGATGAACAACTTTAACTAGTTTTCGCAATCGTGGAGATCGTGAGCGGAAGTACAATCGTGTCGAGAAGCATTTGTAGAACTATCAACACATTGTCAAACCGCGTACAGCCAAGCCCACATCCTTATACTTCGGAGATCTTCCACGCTCTTTCCGGACATGTGCAGAGATGTGTGCGACCTAGTTAACTCACATAAGTCTATCAAATGCCTTGTCGAAGTGCACTTGGCCCTTGTAACGCCGGCCACGGCACGAGTTCTTTTCGCCCGGAAAGGTGATGTGCATGCATGTAACGAATGTAATTACGAGAACCCAGCAACACAGTCTAGCTGTCGACTCGGTCGGCAGCCGACGCAACTTGTCTTTCAGCATCACATTGCCTCTGTGGTCTACTGGGCAACACGGTCGGCACCCAGTGACGGATTTATGGAATCCTTGCAGACTTGCAGAATGAGGACCTGGAGAGGAGGCATTTAAGACCCCCTTAGGACAACTCTGCTTCTGGTCTTCTCTGGACAGCCGCTGAGTGGTTTGTGGCTGGCGGCTCAGCGTAACGGACTTGCAACGTCACAAAGTCTAGCACATTCTGTCGAGTTGCAGCATCAGCTGAGGACAGGCCTTCGCCTGTGGCTTGATGCAGTGGCAGCTGACTTTCAGCTTTTACCCAACGCTCAGGCTGGACTTGCCTTTGGGGACTGCAGCGGCATTCGACTTGTGGTCCGAACACTGCAAAGCTTACTTGGTTAATGCTTACTGGTCGTCATTCTGAAAAATTTTAAGGTGGTCAGGCAGAAGGACGGCAATGGATCGGACTAGTCAATGGAAACCTTCGGACAAACCTGATGAGAGGCAGCTGACAGAGTTGCAATCTGGCAGGTTCTAAAGCTGCACTGCGAGGAAGGATGGTTCAACCGCAGAACCCATCAGCTGACAAAGTTCCAGCTCAGACGGCAGGCCAAACCCATATGCTGCCTTTTGCCACCTTGTGGTTGTCTGTGCTCCAAGTCGCACAAGGTTAAGGAGGACGAGATATGGACAACTTTCGTCTATCGCGGCAAGTGGAAGTGGGAATACGCGTGAGACCCAGTCAACCTACGGTTGGTAACGGCTTGGCAGTTGCACTCTCGATTTCCCCGGAAGCAGAGCCGGCATAATTGCACGCGAACATGATCTAGGAACGCGCTCTGCATCTCTACAACAAAGAGTTGCCGGTCGTGTTATTGCTCGGGCCATAATGCTTTTCCAGAAGCACCACCAAAAGGTAACACGGCTACACACTCTGCACAGGCTGGATTCCTTGGGGTATGTGAGATGGCATGCCTGTGCCCCAGAAAACTGCAATGCTCTCAGTGCCGACCCCCGGCTGCTACCAACATTAAGGCAGTTGGATTGCCAACGTCGGAAGCAACGGGGCTCTTCACAGCGCTATCCCGTAAGCAACGCCCCTGGACTTGTTTGGTGGAGCATCTGACTCTCAATTTCTGTTATCGCTGCAGGCTGGCCCATGAAAAGAAATCTTTCACGTGAGAGTGCAGCACTGACGCCGCAGAGAGAAAGTTGCATCGTTGAGTCGTGGCGGAGAGAGCAAAAGTGGCACGACAGCCAACCTCCGGTGTTTCAATAGATTTGGCTGCCAGGCCTTGTGCGACCTTGTGCCATGCACAGACTGCTGCTCTTGACCGCCGTTGCGTGAGGCATGAGATGCCGCGGCTTACCTTCCAAACTTGTTTTAATGTGTTTCACCAGCCTGACTCCTCAAGATAACGACGTGGCAAGGATGTTGCCGTGCAGCCTGCCTGATGAATGTGACTGAGCAAAGCCTTGGCATCGTTAAGACTGGCCAAGAAGTTGAAACAAGCGTTCAAGACTCATCCACAGCAGTCGGTAACTTGCGTCGCTGTGAACCAGTCATCTCGGCATGTTTTGCCTTTGCCGTGGGCCATTCCATGCGGGCACAACTCAAACGTTGGAAAAATCAGCGACTCCGGTGATCCGTGCTCAGACCAAAGCTGCTCACGACATGGCACGACAGAGCTGCTTCTCGTCCGCTGGGTCTGCATGTCTGAGGTATAGGCAATCCGATCAACTCAGTTATTAATTTTACATCTCATAACATTGCTCTTGCCCCAAACCACCATACGATGCAGACGCGATTTTGCAACATGCCAAACTCTGAAGGTAAGCTGTGGATGCAAACTGAGTCATGATAGTCGCAACACCGTAGGAGATCATTTTGGAGATATTCTGCTCAAGATCCGTGAGATGGAAGTATGGACTCCTCAGAGCAGTGCCGGCCTACGGTTGGCAGCTCATTTTTCGAAGTTCCCATACAGCATGGAAAGGACTTCCAGCTTTCTTACCAGAGAAACGCAGAGAAAGAGAGAGAGAGAGAGGTCGAGCCCGTATCTTTTCGAAAGCCCCCACAAGGCCCCTAAACAGGGGTGCGCACTTCCGCGCGGGGTGCCTGACAAGCACGGGGAAAGATTTGCCAGCGAGTTCTACAAGTTCCGGTAGCGCTGTTGCCTCTTAACACTCGAGCACGCTGTTGCTTCGTACTTAGTAGCCGGGGCCTCAGGAGAGGAGATGAAGTCTGGCGCACCTCGGTAGCCTAGCATAGCCTCATGCCCCAGCGCGAGATCACGCGGGGACAGTGCTCGCACGAGCAGTGTCCATCGTCTGAGCTGTTCAAAGAAGAGAGAACTGCACCGTCTCGTGTCCTACTAGTTAACTCGCGACTCCGGTGTTCGAAGACACGTCTGCCACATTGCGAAAGCCATTCATCCGACACACCGACCGCCGCCACAGCGATTGATGGCAACGGCATGCTTGACATGGCCCCGCCAGAAATTTACCCGCCGGCGAGACTGTCCACTTGCTGGCTCTGCATGTTCTTGGACATGCCGGTAGCGGGGGCAATTTTGGCTTGGGAAGTGCCACCGGTGCGTCTGGTACTGTAGTGATCAGTGTGCTTGTGCAAACATGTGGCGCATGCTTTCAGGTCCATGGGCCTCGACAGACCAAAGCTGGAATCCCAGGGCTCATCCAGAGAAAGCATTCATGGCTTGGCATCTTGGTGAGGCAGGACAGTGGCACAAAGAGATCGAGGGACAAAGCCTTAATGAGATTTCTTTTGCACCGTCTTGTGTGTTCTGGCTGCACTCAGGCTCGGCTCTCCACTGCACCCCTTGGCGATGAACCCAAGGCCGCACGGAGCATCTCTGAGAGCGTGTTCGGGCAAGCGGTCATCCGTTGACTCAGGCTGGCATGTGCAACTGGTGTCATCATCTTCGATTTGCGCTACAGGCGAGCGAGCCAGTGAACCACATAGGCTGGAGAAGAATTGACAACAGCTAGACTCAGCTAGACTCGACAGCCCAGAAAAGTGATTGCAAAGCTAGCTAGCTACAGAACCGTCGATGCAATGAGCGTCTTGCTATGTCCTGGTCTGGCTATCTTTGATGAGATGATGAGCTCCGGTGGTACGACGACATGTCAAGTATACTTCTGGAACCGACAGCATTCGGTTTACTGTAGCCAGTGGCAACCAAGACAATGCTGTTGCTGTTCCACAGGCATTGACAGGTTGCTCAGCGTCAGGAATGACACCTACATCGCTGCACGCTGAAAAAATTATGCGAAAAGTGCAGTCCATGCCCACATCATATTATAGAATGAGAGAAGCGTGGGAGCGCTGCGAGAGAGAGAGAGAGAGCTTCCTTGCCACTCACAGGATGTTGCCAACGGAAGTCTGCGGAAGGCAGAAGCTGAAGATACTATGTTTCTCCGCGTGAAACCGAAAGATTGAAATCGACTAAAGGTGCAGGAACTCGACGGAGTCGGCCACCTGCTTGGGAACAAGACCAAAGCAGCAGGATCTTTGCCTAATGCTGTACTCTATGCGAAATTTATCCTCAGTACAAGGGTGAGAACTGCACTGGGCTGTGTGGGTGTAATTACAGGCACACATGTCGCGGATGCATGGGCACAGCAACGTCAGGGCAGCGACTTCTACAACAGCTCGTTCGCTTGGAGAATCCGGCAACTTATGCAAAGCCGATGTGTCTCCACGCGTCTTGTCTGAAAGATGTGTGGGATAGTAATAGATCTCGCGACTACTTCTAGCCTTTGATCTTCGAAGACTACGTTGTGTGATAGCTTGTGATAGTGATGGTACGAGGCATCCGTAGCGGTTCTGCGATGTTTTTCGGCTCCCGCTTCGTTGCGGTGCACCGACGAAACTCGCAGTCCAATGTTTTGGCACTCCGGAACTTGCCGCTCCCGACATTGGAGTCGCTTGGGATGTTGTGGGGCGGCAAATCGTGCTTCCTCCATTGTCCCGTGTTCTGGCCTTCGACTCGAAGTCGCTAAAGTGCTGCCAGACCCGCCCTGCTCGAGCTCCGCATTGCCTGCACTCGTGTGCCGCGCATGCGCATGCTTGTGGCGGAGGCCGCCCGCCCACCCTCAGCAGAGGGTGTAGTTGCCTTTCCATGCCCTGTCGTTGTTTCATGGACCAGAGACCCCTGCATCTCTGCTTGCCGCAATCGTGCTCCTGCGACAGTGATGTGAACATTTGTTTCTGCTGCAACTCGTGCTCCTGCCACAGGGTGCATGCATGGGCAGGTCTTAGAGGCCTCCGGGCACGTGGGGTCGAGACTGCTGATGACCGGGTCCATGCTGCAGCTGTATATAGCCCTTGCCATCGCCTCGCACCAGGATTATGATGCTTGCGCTTGCGGTGGCGCTTGTCCTCCCTGACCTTACCAAGCTGCTGGACGTGTCACAGAACGCCGTGAGCCCAGAAACCACGGCGTCGGACGAAGGTTCATTCTTGTCAGTTGTGTGTGTGCATAGGTTTGGCCAGACGCAGTCATGAGCATGAGCATGGCGATGTTTACTTGTGAGCTGGTGGCACTGTCGCTGACCGATGCGAGCCTTGTCAGCAGCTCAATGTAAATCTACCTATCCATCAACCGGGCCCGAAAGAGTAAATGCAGAGCAGAGCCATTCAAGGCATGCATGCAGTCAGGGCTGATGGCATCGTGTGGTTTGGTAGCAACGGCGCATTTGCTCCACGCAAATTGTAAGCATGCGCACTGTGCTTGTAAGGCATAAGTCCGCTGCACTCGGCCAAAACCGCCACGCCAGCTTGTCTCTAAGATTCGACCAGACGCGTTGCCCCACTCCATCGTCTTCCAGCTTGATGCTTGAAGGTTTTTTCCCAGGCCGCAGGACTGGTGCTGCGCGGAGGGGAGGCTTTGGAACGCAGATGAACGCAGCAAGTTACCAATTACCAGTTGCCCCAGCTCCGTGCCAAAAATGGTAATGTCTCTGCCCGCTGCCTCTGCAATTTTCGCGTCGATGATGATTGTTGCAGGCCACACCCGGTACCCAAAAGGCCCACGACTTTGAAGATGCAACAATTAAAAGTTAGGCGGTCTTGGATTTCCTGCGCCATGCTGCAACTCTGATTTGTCCGTGGGTGCAGATCGACTCAAAATTCACACAGAGGAACTACCTGTTCAGCTTTTTCCAGTACATGGACATGGTCGGGACAGCATCGATGGTATTCGACATCTCCTTTCTAATGGGCGTGGACGTGGCTGAGTGTTGCACTGAGGCTTCATGCGACACTTGACGTCACTGCACGTGCGCCGACAGTGCTGAGATTTGCTGAGGCCCACACTCCCAGACCAAGACACTGCTCAATCGCGCGTTATGCTGCTTCGAGCTAGCCGGGCAGCACGGGTTGGAGCCCGCGACTGTGCTGCAAGCAAGCCAGAATCTCACAAACTGAGCCTGCGCATCACCGCAGCTCGATGAGGTGCCGGCAGGTTGACGAGAATTCTGCGCTTGTGCCGTTGTCTGATTGATTTAGATGATGAAGATTCGTCCGGAAAACGCCGAAAGATCGAGCAGTTGGAGCTGAAAGACGAGGTCATGCTTCTCATGCAGTCCCGCGCATGCCATTTCTCCAGAACTCCGTGACAGGTACAGCATCCGAAGCGAAACATTGCGATGCCTAGCAGCAGAACTCAGCCAGACATGCGCTTTATCTACCCGTCTGCGTTTCTATCTATCTGTCACATCTACAGAATCCACAGTATCTCTCTTCCATGTATCTGTATTACATCCATCCGTCCATCCATGCATCCATCCGTCCAGCGATCCGTCTATCCATCTAACTGTCTATGTATCTACCTATCTATCTGGGCAGCAGAACTCAGCTACGCATGCGCTTCTTTGCAAGTATGATATCTTGAAATGTCTTGACCGGGCCGTCGTGCACGATATGTTTGGTGCCCCCATCCCCAAGCCGGCGTATTTTCAGTTTGCGGTCTGCGGTGATATCACATCCAAGGAAGGTCATCTCTGTGAGGTTGGGGAATCTGCTGGCTACCAGAGTTGCTTGCCTGACAATTTTTCTGGCAATGGTACGCGCCTTAGCCATGGCGAGAAATGCGAAAACCTCATACGCTGCTTGTTCTGCTGTCAGGTGATGCCTCTGTTTGATGTCATGGCATTCCCACAGAAGGCTCGCTGCCACGGCTCGCATGACAATGCCACCTTGCAGCGCACGGCTTTGCCGCGAGCACTCGTGACCAGGACTTGTCTTTGGATGCATGGGTTGGCCAGGCCTTTGGGCCTTGTTGGATCTGGTCAAGAGCAAACTCTCCTGTCATCTCCTGTCTGCTCCATGCAAGCCGGTAGCAAGCAAGGTCAAGCCAGGAACGCAAAAGCTGAAACTGCACGCACTGGCAAGACGACAAGTAAGTGTTGCAGCATCAGCTATTAAAACTACATACGTAATCGTAAAGTCCCCATCTTGCTTGCACTCCGGGGCTAGACGAGGTTAGTCAAGTTAAGAACCATGACGCCAGCTTAACCCACTGCTGCCTGCAACTGTGTGACAAACGTAGGCTCGTCCTAACGAAGAGCGAACCCCCGGGCAATACTCCATAGTCAATAGTGACCAACAGCCTATGGTTGCATGGCTTGCGGGGTGCCAGCCAGGCCCATCGCCCAAGCCACTCGATTCCAGCACATGGCCGAAGGAAGCTCCATGCCGTCGTCACAGCCCCCGTCGCCGCTGCCCCTTGAACTTCGGTCGCCTCAGCCCTCGTCCACGGGTCGTTGCTGTCCGACGAACCCGACATGCATTAAGCAGGGAGTCCCAGAGTCGTTTTGCCAATTCCCAGGGTGTTGTTTGAGGCTGACTCGGTAGACTGACATCAACAGGATTCAACAATTTCAACAGGGGGTCCGTCCCAAAGCAAGAAACAATGGAAGAAGGCCACACCTGGAACAGATCTTTCAGTGTCCAAAGCGACCAAGTTCATGCTCGCCGCTTGCTGGTTCACACACCTACTGCCGGTAGTGCGCGGCCGCTGCATGCCGAGGGTGACACCCCGGCAAAACGAAAGCAAGCCCATAAACAGAAATGCAGCCGCCCCCTCCGTGCGTTACTCGTACCTTCCAGCTGCATGCGTCAGCCTCTTCTCGCTGCCGGGCAGGATTGGATTTTCGTGTACAGCAGATGTCTGCAATCTTGCAGACCCTCATTGTTGCCCCGTGAAGCAACGTAACCAAGCCCAGAACCTCTTTATGCACTGTGGATCGTTAGTTCGGGGTTCTATGGATAAGCCTTTTCAAGGGCCCTACATCACACCATATCACACCAGAAGCCTTGCACAACCAAAGCGAGTTTTGATTATCTTCAATGGTCGCAGCAAGTTTCAGCCGCCCGTTGAGTTCGAACTTCGAATGAACAAGTCAAGGTCGGCCGGTTAGGTTTGCGTGCACATGTTGAGGTTCTGTTGAATCCTGACACGTACCGAGCTCCCCACGTACACATTTCCGTGGTCCTGAAAAGAATCGATGCGGCGAAATGTGTGAATATGGGAGAACAGTTTTGCTCTGTGGGAGCGAGGATACACGCTCTTTGACACGATTGCTCCCTCGTCCACGGAAGCTTCCGGAAGTGAATGCACGTGAGTTTAGGGAACGCCTAAACCCCGAGGAGGTTTTAGGGAAAAGTGCTATATGTAAGTGAACACACCGTCCAGGCCCAGCGCACCAAGTAGAAAAGACATGACAGTTGTCCTTTTCCAATCTGGATTCGGCTTCCGGTGTCAATGAGCTTGTTGCCATGGGCAGACAGCCAGCGAGCGAGCCGGGAATCTGGAAACTCGGCATAGACCACCTCTCATCGAGGGAGACGAAGGTGTAGTACAGTAGCAACTGACACCACCTTTTCGAGTTTACAATGGACGAGTGTGCTTCTGTGTGGAACGCTGCAAATGCATAGAATGTCAGATCTGTACCGTTGTGTTCCCGAGTATGGAATAGGATGTCACATGCTACGCATCGATGCTTCCGAAGATATGCAGGGGACACTGAATTAGGTTGCCGTATGGCAAAACTGCAGCTCACCAGACTTATGTGCATTCAGCACATTCAGCAGCCGACAGTGATGCGAACTGTGGCATTTCTTCGCTTCGGAAACGCCGCAACTTTTTTAGCTGTTCGTTTGCTCGATGCCGGAGACCGTCTGCAACGCTAGAACTCCAAGAAGCCCCGAAACACATCAATCAGCTACTATGCCCAGCCCGCAAGCCGCCCGCAAGCACGGCAGGTTTCATACACGAATGAGCACGAAGAGGCAGCCACGGTTTCTGAGCACCGGCCCCAGACCTGAGGCACAGAGCAGGCTCAGCTTCGAGAGTCGAATGCAAAGCACCGTTGAGTGCATGTCTGGAGCCGCCAAACCGCCAGTTTGGGCCGTTCCTGATGGTTCTGTGCAGGGCAGTGGCTCCTTTCACTGTTATGCTCATATGACTCATAGCTTCCGGTGTTGTTCAGTTCTCAGTGAGCTTACTACAGCTTGGAGCTTCACAGCTGCCGGTCTTTTCAGGACTCGGCAGACAACTACAGCTTCCACTGTGCAGGCAATGATGAACCCTCGCACATCCTTTCGCGGCGGCGCTGTGCATCGCACGAATGCACGAACCAAAACGCTGGACAGCTTCGTGTCGGGTGTACCGGTTCGGTTGGGTTTGGCAGGACACCCGTCTCTCGCATGTGCCGGTGGGAAGAGTTTCTGCTGCCTGGGGATTACAGACATGTCCGTCCAATGAAAAAGGAGAAAGCCACTTCGTCATAAGAACGTCTGGGGAGGCGATCCAGCCGAAAGAATCTGAAAGCTACAGGGGTGGATGGAATGAAAGGCGCTTGCGCAAAACCACGTTGCATCGACCTGAGCATGCAGCCGGTGGGACCATGCTCGAGCTCAACGCAGCCTCAGCAGTCTCCGACTCATCTCCGAAATCCTCGAAAAATGTCTGGCGGTTTGGGGTTCGGACTGGGGATGCGTTCGACTTCATCACAAAACAGCTTAATTTGAAGTAGGAACCCTACTTTTACCACTGAACTCCCAAGCTTCGAAACCTTGCTCCTCCTAGTCCATGTAGTATTAGTACTAGTTAGTACTACTGATAGTACCATGCTAGTTACTAGTATTTCTCCTGGCTGTAGTGGCCTTAGTAGTATTGGTATCATCAACACTGGTGCTACTGGTAGCCCAAGTAAGGCAGTTAAAGTACATTCCTGGTTACCTGGTTACCTGGTTGTTCCCCACACCCTCCGCCGGCCGCACATTTTTTAACGGAGGCTTTCAATTATGTTCAACAGCATTGAAAGCAGTTCCAGCAGCGCTTGCTTGTGAAGCATGTGAGTGAGCCTCCTGCTTGTTAAATCTTCATCTCTTGTCTGGCACATGGTTCGGGACATGTGAGTAGCATTCAGTTAACAGCCATCCCATGGAGCAAGCCCGTGGGGCCGGTGGGGCTGAGGTTGCGCAAAATGGCAAAGTTCTTCGCTCATCACAGACACGGACTTACCCAGACATGTCCTTGCATCTGGTCAGTTATTGCGTGATTTTGGCTGTTCGACGAAAGGCTATGGGCCTTTCGCTGCATGCAAAGGGCATCTGGTACAAGACAAGTTTGTCTGCAGCGAGTGGTACGAGGCGCTGAACTAGCAGCATGACACCATTTCACCTGTTTCAGTCTGCACCCCACTGCATTTCGAGGGAGTTTGCTGATCAGGACTGGGACCAGGTGAACTCTGCACCTGTCCGGAACGCATCTGCGTGGATGGTGCGCACACCGACTTTCCAGGTAATCTTCGACATGAGCAGGTGCCGTCTCCACCCCTTACTCCTGCCCCTCCGCCGAATGGCATGTGAGTCAATCTGTGTGCCAACTTGTGAGCTGTGAAGGCCTGTAAAAGTGAAAGCTGCGGTCGCCTTGCTGAGCATGCTCTTTACGGTCTGAAACCCAGAATGCTCGAATGGCTGCACGGCATTGTGGAATTTGGGTCTGATTTGGGCTCGTGAACTTTTCAGGTCTGCATCATGCTTTGCTTCTCCATCGCGCTTTCATCAGTGGTAACCGACCTGGCAGTAACGCCTCTTGAGCGGATGCTCGGGACAGCTCCTTACCAGAGAGCAAGATTGGTGAAAGACTTGCATGTTATTTTCTGCTTCACGTGTCAGGACGGTGCGAGAGATAGCCGCGACAGTGTTTCGATTTAGTCAGGGTCTCAGTCTTGTCGCTTCATGTTTGTATGTTGCTTTTCGTTCGTGCTGGATGTAGCAGCATCTGAGGTTCTATAGTGATTGGTCAGCAAGAGGAGGAGGAGTCCCAGTCGGAGACTACAGACATTGATAATGCGGGTGAGATGATCTTGCTGGAGAAGGTCGGAGGCTTAGAATGCTAGGCAGGCACGAGTGGCTTTCGGGTGCAGGAGTCGACATTCCATCAGCAAACAACTTGCTGCACGTCTTTCCACCGTCAGGCTGTAATTTTTTTCATCAGATGTAGACTCCGGTAGACCTGTCCCCACATGGCGGGCCCCAGCCGAAAGCAAGTCTTGGAGAAGTTGCAGCAGATCCAGGAGAGCCCTGGGAGCGTTCTTCTGGTTCGAAGCTACTGCTTTGCTCGGCTCTGTTGCAGCACGCTAGCGCCGCTAGCACGCACGAACAGCTTCAAACATACTATTTCCAAAAATACTCAGACCCCGGCCATTGAGTGCAGGAGCTGAAACGAGAGGTTACTTCACCAGAAGAGTCAGCAAGTTTTCCGCGTGCCACCGGCCTCTCCGACCGATGCCACGTCAAGTTCGAGGATGGACATGAGATAGAAGTCATCGTGGGCACATCAGAACACATCCAGCAGAGTCTCATTGAGAGCATCTGTCGAATAGTTGATGCCGCATACTCTGGAGTGGGGAAGCATAAGCGCCTCGATCAATACGATGCCGTGGACCGATGCTTGGCCAAAAACCTGTAAGAGTTAGATGTTGTTCGAAGTGCCAGAAGCTTTAACAACACCACCTGATCTGACAGCGGCTACTGCGGGCTGGAAGTACATGTCCACGTGTTCCTGCGGGTTCAGGAGGAATTCCGGCACACTCATCTTGTGTTGAAGAGTCCAAGTGCTTGGTCTCTTTGGTCAGGGACCAAGGAACAATCAGCCTCGAGAACAGTCTCGAGAACTGGGCTTAAGGGGTTGGAGCCATGTTGTTGGGGATGGTATGAAGAGACATACGATTGGTTGAGTAGCTTGCGATTGTGTTCCTGCAAATGGCTGGAACTGCACTGAGCTTCCTTCTTCAGGCCTGGAAATGGGCGATGCTGGTCCTCAGGCGAATCGAGTGCTACATCTTGCATTCAAGGACCGTGAGTTGGTTGGCTGCGCGAGCTCAACATTCAGTCCTGGCTGGACACCTGATGGATGTGGTCACTGGGGGCTTCTGGCCGTTCATCCAGATCATCAGAAATCTGGGGTTGCCACGGCTCTTGTGATAGCTGCGGAACGCCGCCTCGCAACCATATGTGGTGGTGTTCAAATTGAATACCAGTACACGGAAGGGGAGGAATTTTCACGAAGGCTCCGCACTGCACAGTGTTCTTGTTGCCATGAGCTGTGCATTAGTGGATACATACAGTATCCTCAATTTCCGTGATGATCCTGCCAGTTTGGCCTCTGAGGTTTGTGTGCAGCTTCGACTCGACGGACCGACTGACAGACAGCAAGCCACGCATGCCAGCAGGCAGACACGCACGCACGCACACACACACACGCACAAACAAACAAACACAGACACACATGTTTACTTCTGAAAATTCGGGGCTACGAAACTATGCCACTGACATCAAATTCGGCATCAATCTTCGAGATGAAACATAACTTTCCGATCGGCTTCGCTAGGCTGGTTTGTGCGGCAGGACCAAAGCGCTCGTAAACAGGACGCCCTGCTAGTGAAAAGCCCAGGTCACGGGCCATGGGTTTCATTAAGGAAAAATCATGTCTTTGTGTCGCCCTCTGCAGCTTGGCATGATGCTAGATGGTATCCATCAGCCTCACGAGCCTCCGGAAGAAGAGCTTGTCGAGAGAGGCATTAACGGAAATGAATTAAAGTCGGATCTGCAGAGAGAAAGCAGTGCTCAGTTACAATCAACTACAAAAGCTCGTCCCACGAGGGAACAAGAGAAATGAAAGGTTTGGCCCTGAACTTATTGTTTAGGTCGTGGAGTTGTCTTGAGATGCTTAAGCACCAACTGAGTAACTGCAAAGGAGCGCTGCAATTTCTTGCAGCTGACCAGACCGGAAACAACGTCAACTTTCGAATGATGTTATGCAAGCACTTGTAAGAACAGGTCGCTAAATTTTCTAACCACACCGAAAGACATGGACCTATGAATGAACCCAGAGATGAGCCCATACTTGGCTTCAAAGTCCCCACACACCACACATGAAGCGCGGTCAGTAGTGTTCTGTCGGCCCCATTTCCATCGGCCATCAGCGATAAACTCACACATGGCTGAACAGAAGCCAGATGGCACCAGACTGCCCCTGAGGCGAATACCTACACAGTCTTGGGCGAGAACTGGGGCACAAAGTACACCAACGAACTGTACAGATGGAGCATCCAAACGCGGTTTGCCTGATCTGCAGGGACTGAACCACGAGCGACGCTTTTCTGGAAGACGTCCCCCAGCACTCCAAGCCTGTGAGTCTTACCCTTACCCCTCGCGCGAGAAACCGGGCAGCAAGAACAACAGCAAGAGGAAATAGTACGCAATTCTTTGAAGGGCTCAGTGCCTTCCGCACAGGCTGGGTCCCAAGACGAACTGCTGTGCTCCTTCCTAGCAACCAAAGTGGCCACTAGGTGGGCCTGAGTGTCAAGGGCTCGATGCAAGAATGGCGTCGCAAGGTTCAACTTGCTAAGAAAGGCTTGTTTGGCTGTAGCTTTCGCCAATCGATCCGCTGAGGCGTTACCTTCAGTCATTCATTCAGGTTGACCTTCAGAGTCAGACGAAACATAGACTTTCACCTTGACAACCACCACATCGCGACCATTTTCACGAGAAACCTCCTTCTAGGAACTCATACCACAAGTCGTAGTTAGTCAAAGTTGCGGGCATCGTCAAGCCTGTACCCGGCACTTTTGAGAGAGAGGGTCTATAAATTTTTATGGGCCCAGATTGTGCACGATCCCTCGAAAATAACGACATAAACCCCGTGTCGCCTGGGTGCAACCGGGTGCGACCTCGTGGTTTACAAGGTCGCACCCGCTCGCACCCAGCATTTGTTATGGGCGGCGTACGCGCGTGCGAAAGGGTACGACCTGATTTGTTACGAGGTCGCACCCGGTCGCAGCTGAACCCAATACACATTTTCCGTCAAGGACAGGCGCATTTGACACTGGAACCGACACGCGTTATTTCTAGGACCGACGAAAAACGAGCGACCCAGACATGCAGAATCCCCGCAGAGGGTTGCAAGTTTTGAAGGCTGACACGCAGGATCATTCCTGCATGCGCACTGCGACTACTCGGAACCGCATGTAAAACCTATAGCTGCATTTCCGGGCATGGTCTCTTCAATCGTACAGATTGCGGCGGTGGCCTGAATTACGGAAGCAAAGACAAGGACAAATGCGAAGACAAATGAAAGACCAAGATTCACAGCTTGGAAGATGAGGAGCTATGAGGGGCTTGGATTGAACACACATCCACCGTCAAGCATCGCTTCCTGCACATGTGTTTCTTTTGCTGAGCAGATGTTGGTCCCACATCGGATAACCTCTTGCGCAGTACTGCTGCATACTTGCGAAGTTCGATGACGAAGACTGTCTATAGGCGGATGGAATCAGCTACAATCGGCAGATTTGCGCCGGTATGTAGGTATGGAAGTGCTCCAATCGGCAGATTCGCGCCGGTAGGCAAGTAGGTACATGTGCTTGCGCGAGCCCATTGCCCATGGTTTACCGGATTTTGTCGCGTGCAGGCTTCGGGACTGGTACGAGGGGAAGCTGAAGTTTCAGGGAGGCTGTCTCGACCTGGAACCCGGACAGACAATTTTCAGACGATGCAGGAAGAGCAAAGGCCTCAGTCATGCAGACGGGAAGAGCCTCATCTGCGACATCGCTCATTGTGACACCTGAAGTACCGGCAGCATGGGATGCAGCGTGTTTCACCTGTCGAGGCATTCCTGCTGAAGAGCAGCAGCGTGGCCACTTCCGCCGCCTGGAGGACCCATGTTGAAGAGCCCGCCCACTCATCCGAAATTCAACAGAGCAGTGCAATATAGTTCTTTGGGAAGCCGCAAGTCAACTGAGCGGATGTTTTGTCTCGTCTGTGGAGGAGATTGAGAAGTGGTTGCAGCTGCAGCTCAAGGAGATGGAATCCAAGGCCCGGCGCAGACACCGCACTGCCGACACCGCACTGCCGCACTCTGAGTGTCAGCTCTTTGCTATGTGGAGGACGCCCCGTCGATGCACGCAGGCCGGCAGGTGCTTTGGACCATTGCGGACATGCACATGTAATGCTCATGGCTTGCAGGGCTACCCGGTGGATATCCAGTCACAGCATGAGCCGGTCCGGCGCAGTCAACTGCATGGCGTGGTGACAGGATGCTTTTACCCAATCTTCCTGCTTCCTGGCCACCACAGAAGCAGGCAGCGCTACAAACGTACGCGTGTACAGGCTCAACCGAGTCGTGCTGGCCCTCCGATGAGTGGACCCTTGCACAGGGCAGCTTCCTGCCTACATCCAGGCTCCAGGCATGAGCGCAAACAGCAAGAAAGTGCCAGAAAAATGTCTGCAAGTGTCCGAAATGGAGCGAAATGGCGTGCATTGCCTTGCCATATTGGTGCAGCTCGCTTAGTCTGACGGGCAGGGGCCGTACGCTCTAGGACTTTAGGGGGAATCTAGGGGCTGACTTGCTTTGCTTCCGATGCCTTGCTCAGCGCAGTCATTGTTTCGGAACTCGTGGCAGTTGCCGATCGTTTGAGGACTGCATGAAAAGTGCTCATGTGCTCAGTGATGAAGTTGGATGAACAGGTTGTTGAGAAGCTATCGGCAATCGCTGCAGTACACGCCAGCGTTGAACACGTCCTGGACACTGAGGCCAAGCCTTGTCTTGCTGCCTTGCTGCTTTGTGGACTGTGGCCTGGCCGTGCTAGCATTTGCAGGACATGGACGAGGAAAACATCGGAATCCTGAGTATGCTCCACGGTGACCATACGAGCAGAGCGAGTTTCAGAAGCCATCCCCTAGACAAGGAGCCACCGAGTCCACGGTTGCTAGCGAAAGCGGGCTGAATTTGCTGCAGTACAGTGCACGACCTACTGGTCGGGTCTTCGTTCGGCATGTCTTTCACAGGGCTTCTGGTCCTGTTCGAGTGTCTGTATACGGTATTCGCTGTAGATTTTCTGACTGTGCGGATGCAGCTGTTGACCGATGTTTTTGCACTCGTCCTTGGCTGTCGCATTTGCGGTCTCGAAGGAGAGATCACAGAGTCGCATTCTGAGGCGCAGCCCTTAGAAAGGTTTGGCATTGGCACGCTGCCAACTGGAAGCACTGAGGATAACTCCCGACCTCAGCTTGGAAGCCAATGGAGTTGATGAAGAGACATTCAACAGCTTGAGATTCAACGTGTGGCCTGGCAGGGACTAGACACCTAAAGCAAAAACGAGCCGAAGCTCTGGCAGCCTTTGCGTTGGTTGCCTCTCAGGTTCGACCTCACACCGCTTCAGCTCAATAAGATGACGTTCCATGTCATGCTCTCACACGCATCCAGTGCAGTGCTTAGCCGTGAAGAATCATGATGACTGGTGTAATCATACTCAGTGACTCAGTGCAGTTTTTGGTGTTAGCGGGAATCCATGACATGTCACGCACAGGTCCTGATCCTTAGGAAAGTGAGCGAAGCTTCGGATCCGCTTGCTGTAAGGCGCTGCGATCTTCAATGGTGCTCACGGAGAAGAAGCGTTGCTCCAGACATTCGTGTCCGCCGTGCACAAGGTCACGGCTGATTTGACTCGACTGCAAGTTTAGTGTTCTCGGCCGTGCGTGCCGAGTGATGAACTGGCCAGGGCTATCCCGAAAATCCTTTCCACAATTTCTGTCATGCAGTGGATGTGCAAACAACGATTGTGGCTCTTCTGCAAGCCACTGCAGGCAGTTCGTGTTTGCTTATGCAATTTTCAGTAAATGTGCATGCTTCCTGCAATTCGCTTTAGCAACTTATATTGCTCAGAGGTTCGACTGAGACTGCCCGTTTAGGTTAAGATGATGAAGCTGACAGAGGCAGATGATTTTCTGAGCTCGCCGCCTACACCTCTGATGCCACATTGCTGTGCGGTGTTTCGGGCTGTGCTGAGGCCATCTCGAGCAGCCGGGACCCTGGAGGGCAGGTTTCATGCTGTGCCAAGAGGAGGCAGACGGTTGATTGCAGAGTGATCGGCGGTGTAAGGTGCTCTCTGCTAGTTGCAGGGCTGGGCCATGACATCGGACATCCAGGATTCAACAACGGCTTTCTGTCCGAGGTCTGAATGTCCCGGCTTGCTGCGTATTGCATTCTGGACAGCTGGATTTCAGTGCCGTGCCGTCTGTCTGACTGAGAGCGAGATCCAGCAACTGCAACACAGGTAGGCCATGAGCTCGCCCTTAAGTACAATGACCGGTCTCCGTTGGAAAACATGTGGCCAGCTCAGTGCTGCAGGTGTGAAACCACTTCAGCAATTCATATCAAGCCATGCTCCAGCAGAAGGCTACATCTCCTGCAACCACCGTAGCTTAAGCAGTGGGTTCTTAGTCGGGAAGCGGGTGTGATTAGGAGGGGTTCGGGGTTTCGCGCAAGCGAGCAACTTGCTAGGTAAGGCAAGCTCATGCAAGCTCCGAGTATCGGTCCCGTCAAGCAGCTTGTGGCATGCACCCATCGTTCCATCGCTGTAACTATAATTAACTACGCCATCGTACAAAACAGCAAAAACAAGGACAATTCATTGAAGTGCAAGAGGGGCTCGGATTACATGTCACGAAAGATGGCCCTTTGGAGCTTGCGGGAGTTGTCGTTTACCAGTTCACTTCACTTCGGTAGTAGAGAACCAGGTCGGAGCCGCAATAGTTAACGTGGGCCCGAGTGATTCAGAGGCGGTGGCTTGTGGGGGAGGGGGGGGGGCTCTGGGCGGCGGCCGCCCGGGGACTTTCCAGGGAAGCGTTCGCTGAGTCTGCTGAGTTTGCTGCATCGCCGTAGAAGTAGTAGAAGTAGTGGTAGTAGTAGCAGCAGTAGTAGTAGTCGCAGGTGAGCATGGTCTAATGCGTTCTGATTTCACAGCATCCATGACTCCATGACCCAACTATAATGACGTGTATGGCGAGATGCAGCAGTACTTGGGGATTGAAAACGTAGCTGCCGAAGTGGTGGCGTATCAGAACTCTAACCGCGACGCCGTGCCACCCAAAGACCTGTGGAGTCTGGTTCTTGAAGGCACACGCCGAGTAAAAACGGCATCGATTCTGCAATTTCGGTTCCCCGAAGTTTGCCCCGCCTTCCATTTGCTCTATTCAAACGCAGCCTACAATCGACCGCACCCTGGCATGTCCCCCAGCATCCGCTCGCACGTAGTTTTGGGCAAGCGTTGGGGGGCGGCGAGCTCTGCTAAGTGTAATCACTCGTACTGCTGCTACAGGTAGTACTACATAGTACTACTAAGAAGTTACTAGAACTATTATGAGCACTAACCGGCGAACTTGTCAGGCAAACGTTCGCTGGGTTTGCTTGCCAGCTGCCCGCCGGACTTTGACGGGGATGCGTTCACTGAGTCGGCTGGGGCCACTGCGCGGTTGTCCAGCGAGTGCTAATCGTTTATTAATAACTTTATTATAAGCACTACTAGCTATTGGTAGTACGACTGCTAGATCCCAGCGTAACGATCCCCAAACTCCCAGAGGAGACGACCCAAAGACCACTAGGACAAGTACTGGCGGGATTGCAGAGCACGGACCCCACCACGCCCCGAAGTCCTCCCTCAAGTACTAGAGTTACTAGACCGTGCTGGACCACATCCCAAATTCGGGACCGCGGCCAGGATGCTTTCCCCACATACTGGCACATCCAAAAGTGACTTCAGCAAGTACTGGCGGGATTCAGAAGCACGGCGCTTTGCTTCCCCGCAAAACTTGGTGGCAATTGTGGGGTTTCTGCAAGGAAAACACTATTGCCTCAAATGGATGCCAAGCGTCCAAGGCCCCCCCCCCCCCCACACCCTAAGGTCCTCTCTTAAGGTCATTTGCAAGCATCTTCACAATGTTTGCTTGTCGTTCCGATTGCATGGACCTGGCAGATTCAAGCAACACTGCAACGGCAGTCGTGGCCAGTTTAACCAGTTTCATCGCATGGCAAAGGTCAACTATGTTCCACACGCCTAGGACACTCACCAAGGAAGGCCAACAAGATTACATCGAGGTGCATCGTGCACTGCAGTCAGATTGTGTGCAGGCACCCACGCACGCACGCACGAACGAGTCGTCTTTGAGCCCGCTCGCTGGCGAATCTCTGCCGGAGAAGTGGAGGGTCGATTCGTGTGGCCGGCGGTCTTTTCTGTCTCGTGTATTCCTGCCTCATGCCACGTTGCTGCCCTATCTTGTCTGTGATGGGCATCTTAATTTGTGCACTGCTGCTTGAGCAATGCTGGCGGACTGGGAATTGTGTTTGCGGCACGTACTGCCACAGTTGATGTGTGCTGCTGCGAGCTTCTGAGGCACTGTGCCGTGTTGTACCAACTCTTGGCCAAGCCAGAGACTGAACTCTTTGGCTCGCTCAGCGATGATGACTACAAGGAGGCAGATCTGTCGTAGGAGCCATGAGAGTCCGTTCCACGAGCATCGCATGCCCTGCAAGCAAGAGTCGCAGCTGTCAGGTGCGTCGCATCTGTGTGGAGACCATTCTGCACACGGACATGGCATGCTTTTTGTCACAGTTTCAGAAGTCAATCCAGTAGAAGCAAGGAAAAGTCGTGGATGTTGGTGGACAAAGTTTATTGCATACTCATCCACCTGCATGCATGCCTGCCTGCAGCATCTTGGTGTCGGTCGCAGCCTCCATTGTAGAACTACACTAAGGGCTTGAGGAGGGAAGTTCAATCCTGGGTTCAACTTGAGTTTGAAGTTTTCTTTCCTTGAAGAAGAGTTCGAACCTGGGTTGAAGCTGGGTTTTCGTTGGCCGCCACCGTGCTTGAAACAACAGCCAAAGGACACTCACATGTGTTCTGTTGATGAGCCTCAGGCCGTCTGGACTGCTCCCCAAAAGCTTCGTCAAGTTGACAGAACTGTTTCGTTTGCCGCTGGGAGTCGATGCTACCGAAGCCGGTAGGAAGTGTGATGCGCACGCTGTGAACTTGCAGGAATCTCAATTTGTCGTTGTTATGACATGTGATGACAGCATCTGCCGAAAGACAGCGATCAGGACAACGGCTGAGGATGGCACGGCAACCCCCACCCATTCTCAGCTGCTCACAGGCTTACACAGCATCCGGCCCGGCCGGGTCACTGCTAAGCTTTGCTACTGCTTTGCTGCTTGCTTCGGTACTGCGGAAGACAAAGTTGAAAACAGTTCATAATAAAGGCTTTTACTGATGACTGCATCAACCCACGAATACGGCACGAGCCGGACCCCTGTTGATTACAGTATCAGCTTGGATCCCTTCCGGACTTTCCCCGAAGCAGAAGTGCAATTAGCATTGCTGACTCAGGCCATCAGAACATGGTCAAAGACCTCAACCTTCTGTACCAGATTCATGCAGAGGCTACTTGAAGTGGTCGTGTGGAGAGAGAGCACCATCGAGCCAGATCGCAGGCGTTGCGGCAATCGGCTTCTCCTCAGCCGAGGGTCACCAGCAGACCATCTATTGCCAGACCGAGTTCAGTGCTCGGGTGCCAGTAGATCGATCCTTGCCCAAGAAGCGGAGATCGAGGCAGACGGCGCAGGAGTGTGCTGGAGAGTGCAACGGACCCGTCTCAGATCTTCTCAGCGTGCAGCTCCAAGCAGCACCTACATCGACAGCGCAGTTCTTCATCTTGTTTGTTGTCCAATAGTCAGAGGCCGGAGCACAAAATGCTGGTGATGGAGTCGCTGCTGCACGCAGCTGATGTGTTGGAGTCTTGGGGAGTGGGGTCGACGGCAATCTACAGAGAGGAGACATGTACGTAATGCCGTGATGCAGACAGTCTCCCTGTTGCAGCAAGTTTTACCTTCGACCGCGCAGCAGTGCAGCCCGGTACGGGTGACAGACATGCATGGCGGACACAAGTACAGACTGCTTCAGCCCGTCGCCGCGGCGAATTTTATCTAGACCCAATGTAGACAATTCGTACCTAGGAGTTCTTCGCATTTTGTCATATTGTACTCCATAATCAGGACCCCAACATACCTTTCGACATCCTTGTGCACGCAAGCGGGCCACATTCTCGTGAATGAACAACAGCCTTGCATCAGGGCAGTTCTAGGCGAAAAGACTGAAGGCTTCCGGCATGCGGCGAAGACGGTCACTGCACAAGGGGCTTTCTAGACAATGGACCGGGCTTTGCGGGGTGAGCCTGCGTAATGCGTTAAAGCAGCACCGTTGCGACAGTGGCATGTTTAAATTTGTGAGCCAGCTTTCCTGCCAATTCTTACATTTCAAATTCGCTTGCTTGCGAGTTGAAACGCACTTGAGGTTACAAAAATGCGGCCATCCTTGTGTTTCTTGCCATCGGCACTGTGAAAATGCCATGAAGCTTAGCCGGATCTAGCCGGATGTTCTGCAGTTGCGAATCATTGAACTTCGGATAATTGCAACAGGGGCGCCATATCTCTGTCGGTTCTTCGAGCCGGTCGCGAGGTTGCGCCGTTGAACGGTGACACCCAAGTGTTCAAAACGACGATCGCCCGGGGAGCACAGTGCATTGGGGCAAGATGCTAATGCCACGACCACACCGACACCCTTTGTTTACTGGACTGCTTTGTTTTTAGCATGGTCTAGGCGTTTCCAAGATGAGAGCATGAGGGGTTAAAAGGGAGAGGTGATGATGAACACTCACGAATGAAAGGTCTACAACCGTGCCCTCATTGATCTGATTTTGCGACGGAGTTCAATCTCGGAAATCAACTATACGAGCGAAAGGACTTTCATGCTGGAGATTTATTTGTTCTCAAGAGTAACGCAAACGACTGTTTTTGCGCTGCACTTGGGGGTATGGTATGTATTTGCGCCTGATTGGTACATATAGGGTGAGAACGTGTGGGGCTGGTTGTTGGTACCATTTGGTACCAAAATCAGCATGGCATTTCCCGGGCTGCACCAACCGGATGTACCAAGTGTACCAACTCTACCGTATCAAAATTACCATCGCATTTCGAGGAGTGATTTACCAAAACTACGTTATGCTGAACTGCTAAACTTTACCCTGGAAATGTGACGCGGCACGGTCCGTACTGCTCGTCCCGTATGTCCGACATTCTTTGCATATGTCCAGTCCGGTCGCTCCATGTGTCCCACACCACTCGTCCCTTCTATTCCCCTTAGCCTTTGTCCCGTCCGCTCGCCCCACATGTCCCGCCGTCCACTCGGCTCATGTGTCTTGTACCTTCGTCCCATCTTGGAACCCATCCGAAAGAGCACTACTATTACACTTATTGCCTGGAGCTGTTGGATGCAGGCTTATGGTGGTGGTTGAGAGGGAAAGCTGCGCAGTCGGTCTCACGGGACACAGCAAGAGTTTGTAGGGTAGCCAGATAGGTCGTAAATCTGTGCAGTATCGCTTCGGCCTTGCATTCGGAAGAGTTCTGAGGTCGAACCCTGCACGTGAGTGGCATGTCACTCAAGCCTGGGCTGACAAGTGCCTCGAAGAGTTTTTCGCTCAAGGTGACCAGGCGGCTTGAAGCTTCGAGTTTCGTGACACATATCATTACATATCGATGTGGCACTGTAGCTCTGCGAATGCGCGCTAGGAGCGCAGCCGGGGCATCCCAGTGCAGTTCCTGAATGACAGGCAAAAGCCTCTTGGGCAGCAAGCTGCTTTTGTTGTCTTTGTCACGACGGGAAGTCAATCCCCAAGCTGAGGTTGAATCGTCCACATTCACAAATCGGCTTTATAGAGTGGCTCCTCTGCAATGACTGAAGGGTGGAACCAGCTGGAGATGCAGATTCGGGTCCATGCACGCATCACAACCAGACACAAGCTACGTACCATCACTGTCCCGGACTCCCGGACGCTTAAGTTCCGAGAGACTGAGAGCCTGACCGAGGTTCATGATCTCGCCACTCTTTGCAGCACAGATCTGGTGCGGGGTGGTTCGCAAACACCGATCCTATATGAGCCGCATGCGATTTGCGCAGGCTTTGGCCCAATCTGTTCGAGTACGGTTCCTGCTTGTCCCTGAACATTGGGATGTGGCAGGCCGGCTCAGGCGGTTTCTTGGTGTGGGTCCCGAGTCTGTCGGGTTTTGTTTGTAGGAGCTCTGGGAAGAAGAGACCTACCCATCGGAGGATGAGCTTGAGAAGGCCTGCGGAGCCACAGGGTGAAAACCCTGTCAAGCTGATACCCTTACTTTGCTGTTTCTGGATCTGCTGTGTTGATGCTTCTATGGTGGAAGATAGAGTCTTTATCGAGCGCAATCTTACGGTGTCTCGCTTTCACTTGCAGTTGATGGCGCCCAGCCTTCACACCATTGCTTCCAATGCAACTAGCCCACCCCGAGAGACGCTGGTGAACGTCCCGAGCTGCAGCATCATTGGACCTTTGAAAATGGTGAAAATGGTGATGAACAGTTCCCATGCACCGGCTTTGTTTCTTGTTGTCAACCTCAGAAGAAGGCAGCGGCCGTTACTTAGTCCATCTGCCGAAGTCGGCAAAAGGATTTGTGACATTGGGAGACGCGGGAGGGATGGGAAGGCAGACAAAGCCCAGGCCTAGCTGAAGTTTCAGAAGCAAGCACAAGGTGTTTAAGCCGATCCTCTTTGTGGACTGGTGATTGTGTGTACAATCAGGAAGAGGTGCGACACATTGCACACCACAACGAAATCCTACAAGCTATACTTCTCTTTGCTGAGGTGACCTCCCGAGTGGATCAAGTGCAGGAGATGTTGTCTTGCGCGGCTATGCGAATTGCCACTTGAGACTTTCCAACGCTGGCACACATGCCCGTTAACGAGGTTCGTGAGCGCTTGATGCTGCAGTGATGTTTCCGGTTAAAGTGCACTAGTTACTGTGCTAGCTTGCCCATGAAGACTCGCAAGGGTCACGCAAATCACTGGTGCATCTGGCATCACGGAACATTACATGGCGTTTGTGCAAAGTACAGCGCCATCGATGTGCCCAAAGCCTTGGCATAGCTGGTGCAATGCTGTTGGCTTGGCCAACAATGTAACAAGGGCTTGCAATTGTTTGCAATGCATCCTGGCAACGCCGGTTAGTCATAAGAGACGGAGGAGACGAAGGAGGCCACAGCGTCGCCGAGCAGCTTTGGCTCCAGTAGGACAACATGTTATAATCCATGTTATGCATCTCAGTGCTGCTACTACAGGCATTCCGCCATGCAGACACTCTAAAAGAATCTAAAGGAATGCTGATTTGATCTGAATTGGCACTTCGAAACAAGCGCAGGTATTGTACAGCCGGAAGTATTCGCAGCAGCGTTGTTTCACACTTGACTGTCCTTAGCACGTAGATGTGGCCGACTAGTGACTGGTTGCTCGAGGGCGCATACATGATGCCATGCAGCCTCTGCAACAGCTGCAGCAGGAGCGTCACGGCAAGGCCCTCGCAGCTGAGATCCTCGATTTGAAATCTGTAGATTTCTGCAGGGTCTGAAAGTTAATTAAAGGGCAAGAGTTCTGAATGATCGCTGAGGGTGTGCTGGCTCTGCATGGGTGGTGTAGATTCAGTGTAGATAATAAAGCAGAGCTGCCGCCTACAGGCGGTTGGAAGAGCTCCTGCTTAATCGGGATGACAGTATCCCTTGCCGTCCAGTTCAGGGAAAACATGCAAGTTCTGCACTTTTATGAACCACTTCAAAGTCATCGCCTGGGTACAAATTCCCATATACCTTACCCCTACCTCGTTTCAGAGCGCACGGGCAGGTGGTTGAGCTCTTGCAGGCCTAGCGGCCGGAAGCCACCCAAGGTTCGTTTCATTCAGAAGCTTCATCCACCCGACTTGTGCCAGTCGGCCATCTCAGAGCGAGATGTGCCTCAACGCGTCAAGCTCCTACTTCAGTCTGAAGACGTTTTACTAAAGGCCAGAGGCCGAGACTGAGGAACTTGGGATGCTATCATAGCCTTTGCATCACGTCTGCGCGAGCAATCCCTCGAGGCAGACACTTTGCCAGAGACTGTCGCGAGCTGCTTATCCCTCAGCCGCTACAATCAGCTCAGTGCACAGCCAGCCTAGCAGACTGGCTCACTGTCCGAGGTTTAGAGTTCTATTTGAACTTGCACGCTGATCCCAGCCCACCACTGCGGCGGTATGCAGCCCATTTTATAGAGCGCCTGCTGCTGTGCAAGCCAGGGCCCCGCATCAACATGTTCAGTTTTCACCTCAGCAGCTTGAGATGTGTTTTGTTCGATAGTTTTGGTCAGTGGCAGTTGGCCGCCTGTTATGCGGGCTCGGAGCAAGCGAAATACGGTTTCTCTTGTGGCCCACGTTTTCGACAAACAAACATGCATCGACTGACCGTGTTCGTCATGATCGATGTTCCACTTGCAGCAGAATGGAAAGCAAGCCAAATACTATGCTCATGTGTTCTGATGCGTGCAGTGAGTGGTGGTGGGCTGCATAAAAAAGCAGAGGCACAAGGCTGTAGTCATGTCAATCGCAGCGGCCGCTCACGCGCATGCACTGGCATGATGATGCCCGATTGAAACCAAGTCCTCTGCCTAGACACTTCGAAAATTCTGTGAATGAGTAGCACGGACTGCAGAGGGCTACACGGCTACGCTGCCGCACAGGCAATCGGCCTCTGAGCCGAACAGATCCTTCTGGCGTAGCTTTGCACCTTGAAGTGGCCAGGCTGGCCTCGTCAAAACTTGACCTGGTACCACGTGAGCGAAAGCGCAAAGTCTGCAAAGTGTGATCACCTCTCTCAAGCGTCCTAGCTTTTCTCTTTGAGGCCGGTCTCTCAGTCTCAATCTAGCTTCATTGGCCAATTGATCCAATCACAGCGGTGGGAGCATGTCGGACGGTCCACTCAATGTCATGGGCGTTGGCAACGGCGACGGCTTGCCGGGGAACACCTCGAGTAGCTTACACTCATGCAAGGCCAAGCCTCTCGCTGCGGTGCTCGACGGCTATTGCCGTGCTGCTCGCTGATGGTGATGCTGCTGCATCGACCCCGGCACGCTGATTGCCGAAGATGCTAATGCCGTGACAATGCCGTATGTATCAGAGGTGCAGGAACTGGCTTTGAAAGCGGCGTCTGTGCACCACGGAAGGGCTTTGTTCGCCCTGGCGAAGGAGACGTGAAGTAGCAGCTGGCAATTTTGAGAACGTCCTGGCTTTCACTGCGACAGGAGGATGCCTCAGAGTCTCAGCGAGTTGCTGAGCAGCTGCGACGGCTACAGGACAAGGTTCCGATGCTGCGGTTTAATGCTGTTCCATACAAGCAGCAACAAGCTTTGGCCATGAGTTACAAAAAGAGCCAGCCCCCAAGCAACACACAGGAGATACACTATACAGCCCCAAGAGCTTAAAGGTTTTGGGGTACTGTTGGTGTTTCCCTTGTTCGGGATCTGGTTTCTTTAATGGAGTGTTGCAGTGTTGCAACGGTGTATGTTTTGCTTAGCTCCTGAGGAGGCTAGAGTCTAGTCAAGTGTTGGGTGACTTTGGAGCATTACTACAAACACTCATGTCTCGATTCTGCGGTCGGTGTCAGTCGGGGGCTGCGCGTGGCCTCGCATCCGTCAGGCGAGAATTCTTCTACATTCTGACAACGCGTCGCTTCTCGCCATGGCGACGCGGTGGGCAGTCGTGGTGATCCTGTCGCAAACGGCCTCACCATTGCTACTGAACGTGCGTCTGCCTGCGGAGCTTAGAGGCATCAGTTGCATTCAGGACCTTCCCAGTACACGAATGGGGATGCATTCTTCTTCCCTCCTCGAGCCAGTGTCATTGCAGCAGCAGGCAGAGGAGCTTTTCGAACTCCTGTTGAAACTCCTTCGGCAAGCCGTTGCCTCGTACAATGATGGAGGCCGTGCCAAGGCACCTCAGCTGATCGGTGCAGTGGGTGCCGTCGCAAGGCAGCGACCGAGCATGCTGCCCGCGTGTCTCGACGTGTTCAAGGCTATTCTGCTAGTCAAAGATGCGCTTGGAGCACAAGTCCATGGTGAGATTCAGAAGCTCGTGGCAGCGGAGATTCAGCTCTTTGTTGCTTCTGGGCTGACCGCAGAGTGGTCTGCAGATCTCCTTGACCTTTTTGACCGAACTGCTCAGTCCGGTTCCTTGGAAGAGCTATCTACACGGGCCAAGTACAAGCAGATCAGCATGGTCACTGATGACTTGGACGTTGCCTCTCGTGCAACCAAACGGGCCAGAAGAACAGAGTCATCGAAGCACGCCTAAGTCTCAGCTGTGGCCATCAAAGTCCAATGCGTGAAATCTGTATTTCGGTGTGTGTGTGTGTGTCGAGCGGCGAAAACATTCTGAAATTGGGACGCTCAGGGTGAGCGCATCCGCAGCATGCTTAACCACAGTTGTGAAGCGATGCTAATGCTGAAGGCGGTGGTGGTACATGACAGTGGTAGTGGTAGTGATAGTCATGCTGGTGGTAGTGGTAGTAGAAGTAGAAGTAGAAGTAGAAGTAGAAGTAGTAGTAGTAGTAGTAGTAGTAGTAGTAGTAGTAACTAGCAGTTCTCGTAATAGTAGCTGCAGTAGTGCTAGTAGTAGTAGTAGTAGTAGTCGTCGTCGTCGTCGTAGTAGTAGCACTAGTAGTCGCAGTCGTGGTAGTCGCAGTAGTAGTCGCAGTAGTAGTAGTAGTAGTAGTAGTAGTAGTAGTAGCAGTAGCAGGGACTGTAGGACTGCAGGACTGTAGTGGTAGTAGTAGTAGTAGTAGTAGTAGTAGTAGTGGCAGTGGTAGTGGCAGTGGCAGTGGTAGTGGTAGTGGTAGTGGTAGTGGTAGTAGTGATAGTAGTGGTAGTGGTAGTGGTAGCAGTAGTGGTAGCAGTCATACACGGGAATCGGACACCCGCGGATTCAATCGCAAAGCGGGAACACGAGGCGCATTCGGGTGGCATGCGCCGCTTGCCGCACTCGAGCGTATGACGCTAGGACCGTTCAGCGTGGGGCGCCACTTGTACCACTTGTGCAGGTTGCAGGGGAGGGTGCTGGGGGTTAGGGCTTTAGGGTTTCGGGTTTAAAAAGGGGTTGAGGGTTGTAGGGTGAGTATTATTCCTAGTGCTGCTACTATATAGTACTATTGAAGGCCAGTGGCCCAAGCCGGTAAAACGGCGATGTCAAGTGACCCACTTGGCGCAAGTGGAGCAAGTGGCGTAAAACGCTGTAGGAATGTGGTCAAGCGGCAGATTTCGTAGTAGAAGTAGAAGTAGTATCAGTAGCAGCAGCAGCAGCAGTAGTAATAGTAGTAGTAATAGTAGCAGGAGTGGTAACTGTAAGACCGTAGTAGTAGTAGTAGTAGTAGTAGTAGTAGTTGTAGTTGTAGTAGTAGTAGTAGTAGTAGTAGTAGTAGGTAGTAGTAAGTAGTAAGTAGTAAGTAGTAAGTAGTAAGTAGTAAGTAGTACGTAGTAAGTGGTAAGTAGTAAATACTAAGTGGTAGTAGTGGTAGTTGTAGTTGTAGTAGTAGTAGTAGTAGTAGTAGTAGTAGTAGTAGTCTAGTAGTAGTAGTTAGCTAGTAGTTAGTAGTTAGTAGTTAGTAGTTAGTAGTTAGTAGTGTAGTAGTAGTAGTAGTAGTAGTAGTAGTAGAAGTAGTAGTAGTAGTAGTAGTAGTAGTAGTAGTAGGTGTAGTAGTAACAGTTAGTAGCAGCAGTAGCAGCAGCAGTAGCAGCAGTAGTAGGTTTTAGTAGTCTGTGGTAGTATGTAGTCGTATGTAGTAGTAAGTAGTAAGTAGTAAGTAGTAAGTATCAAGTAGTAAGTAGTAAGTAGTAAGTAGTAAGTAGTAAGTAGTAGTAGTAGTAGTAGTAGTAGTAGTAGTAGCTATGCGCGCCTTCAGGCGCCTGCTGTTAACCTCCGTTTGTGGGTGTCGCGGGGGGGTT